ACACTACTTTAAATGCATTATACAGAGGTAAGAAGAAATGAAAACCATGTAAACTCTTCTGAAAACAGAACCTCAGAGATACATTCATATAAACCCCCAGTTCAATATTTAGGATTTTCTTCCAATATTTCAAGCATCGTGAACTAGGGTTGGGCCGATAGACGATGCCATCGCCGATTGGCTGATAGACATCACGATGTTGAGCCGGCATCGCGATCACCATCCCCCCCTCCCCCGCAATCCGCCGCGTCCCAATACCGTGTTCTGAAAGAAAATTACACATAATACGGAACCCCTAAAGGGAATAAATATGCGATGGGAGGAAAATATATATTTCAGTATTTTCTCTCGCAGTTATATTATTGGGCAATTATATTGTATATAAATTGCGGTCATCAGGGAGCCGCTATTATGCCTGGCATTGAAACTACTTTTGAATGCGCGATCGCTTTTTAGTTTCACTTTCACTTTCAAGATTCGCGATCGCACGTACTTTGTTTATATTATGGAGCAGCGGTACTTACCACACATTTTACAAGATTAGATGTTTGTCAGGGGTGCTCAGGATCTGCAAATCATTCACCATCATCCTCAGTCATCTCCCCTTACTCTGTTTATGTGGTAAGTGAAATTGTATGTACTGTTATGTCACAGTCAACCCAACCCCCCCCCCCCCCCCCCGGATGTCATCGTCTGTCACGTTTCAGTGTACACAAAGTCCGATGCCATTTTGGTAGACATCGCCCAACCCTATCGTGAACCGTGATATTGCTACAGTATTTTCTCCTCTTTGCATCCGTCTTCAGCGTCTCTGGCATCTCTTTAACAGCTGTTTACACACTTCGTAATATTTCCACATATATGACATTTTAGAAAATTATTGCAGTGCAGTTTGTGTGCAAGCCCATAACAGAGATTGGCTGACGTAAAAAAAAAAAAAAAATTAAAAATGGCCGGTCGACCGGTGCATCAGTACTACACTGTATAAATTTATAGATTAATTATTGTTAAAGATACAAAATTACTCGCCGAGATGTATTGTATGTATTTGTATGTATTTGTCCTTTCAAGTGCAAGAAGACTCAGAAAGTAACTTCGGGGCTTGCGCATTGTCAGAGACGCATCTCTCTGTGTGGGCACAGAACACGTGTGAGTACTGAATGGAGTTGTCTTTCATGTCTTGCTTGCTGTAAAATCACAAGACTTAAAAACACATGCAAATTATAAACTTTCATGACGACGCAGCAGTAGCCCAAATGACAAAGTAGTGACAAATCAGTCAACTGTCCATAGTGTCTTTCATGCATCGGGCAGTCCTTATTGTCGAGCCCTGTGTACTATTATTTTTTTAATTATTAATTTATGTATTATTTCTTTTAACTATTTAATCAGTCTAATATATATATATGTAATACGCAGCATGCACGATACAAGGAAATGGTCAGTAACATCATCGCTTTGAGGTACGATATCTATATCAGTAAGATCAATTCCATGCGATATAATTAAATCTAGCGTATGATTAAAACGATGAGTGGGCCCGGTGACATTTTGCTTTACTCCAAAAGAGTTTATTAGGTCAGTAAACGCAAGTCCTAATGCATCATTTGTATTATCAATGTGAATATTAAAATCTCCGACAATTAGCGCTTTATCAACAGTAATCAATAGGTCTGAGAGGAAATCTGCAAATTCTTTTAGGAAATCTGTATACGGCCCTGGTGGTCTATACACAGTAGCCAGAGCAAGAGATACGATAGATTTCTTTTGCATATCTGACAGTGTAACATTAAGCATTAGTATTTCGAATGAGTTAAACCTGTATCCTGTCTTCTGAGTAACATTGAGAATATCACTATATATTGTTGCAACACCGCCGCCACGACCAATCTGACGGGGCTCATGCTTGTAATAGTAGCTTGGTGGAGTAGACTCATTTAGACCAATATAATCATTAGGTTTTAGCCAGGTTTCAGTTAAGCAGAGTACATCAAAACGATTATCTGTGATCATTTCATTTACAATAACTGCTTTGGGTGAGAGTGATCTAATGTTTAGGAGCCCAAACTTTAAAAATTGTTTTTGTTCATTTATTTAAATTTTCCTGGTTTAATCACGATCACTCTCTCTCTCTCTCTCTGTGTGTGTGTGTGTGTGTGCGAGTGATGTGTGCATAAATTAAAGCAGCGCATTAATATGAAACGGTGATTAAACTGACTTGGAACTACCTGTGCATTAAACGGTTTTACTGCATACCTGCCAGCCAATCAGAATCCAGTATTCAGACAGACCATGGAATAACATGGAATGTACCAAATCCTTGTTGTTGAACTACATAAAGTCTGTAAGATTGTACATTTTACATCCTAGTCTACAATTTAATAGGCTATTAGAAACAGTAATAATAGTAGGCTATTAGTTAAATGCCAGATATTATTTATTAAGCTATGACTCTGGATAATTTATTTTTAGAATAGAGAACACGGTTCTCCCACGATTCTGAAAACAAAACAGACAAAAACAAATGTTTGGAAAATGTAGTGAGCTAAGCTAACAGTTTACTCATCATTAAGTGAAGCTTAACTACACCAAAGCTACAGCCCTGGGAAATGTAGCAAGCTAAGCTACAGCAACATGGCAAGAGTAGTTTGTCACGGTTGCACTACTGAGTGGAGTGCGGAGCAAGCAATGGAGGGAGACGAGGAGTACATCAATCCAGAGAATTTTAATTATAACAAAGAGCAAGGAAAACTCACGTAGCACAGGTAGACATGAACAATACCGGACGCTGAACTGAAAACAGGGAACACTATTTAAACACATGACAAGACAAGGGGATGACGAGACACACCTGGGATCGATGGAAATAAACGGGGAACACCTGGAATTAAATCAACATAATCAGGACAGGAACAGGAAACCAACCAAATATGAGCATAAACACAGGGAGCACATGGGGAACAAAACACAACACAAGCCTGACATGACACCCCCCTCCGGAAGGCGTGTCGCGCCATACAGCATCCAAGGGGTGGGAGGGTGGGAGCCTTGGAGATCCCTCAGGTAAGGCTTGTACGGGACAGGATACCCCAAGGCGGTCCTAGATCCGGGCACCACAGCGGAGCAGGAAACTCAGGACGTCATTGCGGATCTGGCAGTTCGGGGCAACATGGCGGAGCAGGCAGACTCGGAGGCCATGGCGGATCTGGCAGCCAAGGAGGCCACGGTGGAGCAGGTAGTTCAGGAGGCCATGGCAAAGCAGCCTCTGAGGCTGCGGCCCCGGCCTCTACGGCTGGAGCCCTACTACTCCCCCCGGGCTCTGAGGCCCTCTGTGGGCCATAACCGGGGACTGGAGTCCTCCCTGGGCTTACTTGAGGATCTGGAGCCCTCCCTGGGCTTAACTGGGGATCTGGAGTCCTCCCTGGGCTCAACGGGGGATCAGGAGCTCTCCCTGGGCTTAACTGGGGAACTGTGAAGCGCTTACGAGGAGCTTGCACTGGAGCCAACTCAGGGGCTGGAGCCGACACTGGAGCGAGCTCTGGGGCAGGAGCTGACACTGGAGCGAGCTCTGGGGCTGGAGCCGACACTGGAGCGAGCTCTGGGGCTAGGATGAAGGCAGAGAACAGTCCTTTTCTCCTCATCCTCCTCCTTTGGTTACGGGGGAACTGGGCAGCCGGCGGGCTTGTCGTTGCGGTGCCCGGCGGGCTTGCATCAATGGCGACTGGCGGGCTTGACTTTGCAGCGGGCGGCGGGCTTGACAACGGGAACTCGGGAACGGCCGGCAGGCTGGAGGATGCCGTGGCTGATAGGCATGACAACGGCGTGGCCGGCGAGCTTATCTGTTGAGAGGCCCGGCCGTCTTGATTTCCAAGCGGCCGGTGCTCCTGAGCTGAGGACCACGGTGGAGCTTCGGAGGACAGCAGGGAATTTGGGGTTGGGCAGGCGGTAGGAGCCGTTGGAGAGGTATGTGGAGGTTCTCGACGTGGGGTGAGCTGGAGAGACGCGGCACGTTCCAGCGGGAGTTGGAGGACGAGGCTTGGGAAATGTCTTTACTTCTTCAACTTCAAAATCTGAACTATTTAAGAACAGCACGAGATGAATCAGATAGATCAGGGGAAAATCACACGTCGGAAGATCGCAGCGGATTATCTCGTCATCCAACCCCAGCAGGAAGCACGCACCTAGAGCGGCGTAGTGCCAGCTCACCCAGTTAGAGAGCTCGAGAAAACCCTCCACATATCGCTCCAACCTCAGACTGCCCTACCGCAGACCCCACAGCACGTCCTCAGCTGCAGTCATCTTTTTAGGTCCGGTATTCTGTCACGGTTGCACTACTGAGTGGAGTGCGGAGCAAGGAATGGAGGGAGACGAGGAGTACATCAATCCAGATAATTTTAATTATAACAAAGAACAAGGAAAACTCGCGTAGCACAGGTAGACATGAACAATACCGGACGCTGAACTGAAAACAGGGAACACAATTTAAACACATGACAAGACGAGGGAATGACGAGACACACCTGGGATCAATGGAAATAAACGGGGAACACCTGGAATTAAATCAACATAATCAGGACAGGAACAGGAAACTAACCAAATATGGGCATAAACACTGAGACACAGGGAGCACATGGGGAACAAAACACAACACAAGCCAGACAGTTTACTACATCTAAGCTTCATTTTTTATTTACCAGTATCAGTAATAATATTGTAATATGTTAAATGTTAGAAGTGAAATTAGGCATCACACAACACATCACTAATCACGTCACAGTAGCGTGCATTTATCGGTTATCGGTCATTACATGAAATAATTGTTAACTTATTGGAGTATCGACTAGAATTGTAATATTGGTGCTTCCCTACTTAAGGATGAGCAGTAGCTGTCACCTTAGCAAACACCACTTAAAACAAACACCCTCCTGTTCTACCCGATTTTAATTGTTGTTCTTATGTATTTACACTCTTTCTTGTTCTCTGTGTCTATGTGTAAACAGACGATCTTATGCTAAGTGGCAGTGCTGATGACTTCAAGGTCCTGGCCCTCAGAGACCTGTCAGATGACACAGTGTGGGGTCCGTTTTCTGGCAGCATCCAATCAGGCAAGACCACAGATGGACCTGCCAATGAGGTAAGGGGGATGTGACGGGAATTTGGATATTTGGTTAAGATTCCTATCTCAGCTCTGTTGTGTCATAACATTACAGTTATAATATCCCTGGTAAAAATAGCACGATATTACTATATTGGGATTGGTATTTCTGGACACGTTACCATATACCGTAGACTTGTGTTGTATTAGAGTATCAGTCATGTGTTGTAGGTCCATCTGATCATGTGATTTCAGCTCTGGGAGAGGTTTCCTGGCTCAGACCATGTTCTCAAACATTTCAGAGATAGCGCAGGCCTGTACACACTCTTACACACAGGCGAAGTTCATCGCTTGGCTGATTTTCAGAGAAGAGGGATGCATACAAAATATTGCATATGATGCACGTTTTCCAAACTTGTTCAATTCAAGTGTGTTTAGACAGTGAAATACAAGTATTGTGTATAGTGTTAAGTAAAACAGGAATTTATCATTAACCCCCTTGGCTAACCTATCAAATTGAGGATGAATGGGTGGACGTCTGCATTGCACTGATTCAAAGTGAGGAGTAATCCATGGGAGTATGGGTGTATGCAAATGGAAATGCATGTCTTGAGCGAGTGTCATCTTTTTCCCCTTGAACTGCTTTCGGCTGTTCCTGCACGAGATTGGCTAGAGCCCCCCACCCACCAGACGGACGCTTCTCTTTTATCTCAGTGTGGCGCCATCCTCTTGGACAACAAACTCCAGTGATTGATTTCTACTTGATAGGCTCTCATTTCTAAGATTTCATTTATTATGAGAATTTCTAAGGCCATGCACCCAGCGCTCCCTCCCCTCCCTGCACCTTTACTTCACCTCCTCCTAATCTCTCTCCCTTCCTCTTTTAAAAAAAAATAAAATCTTGTTATCGAGGCAGGGCTTTGTTGATGATTTTCGTCTCAGAACTTTCACATTCGCATTCTATCGCGTTTGCTCTCGCTCCGCTATCTCTTCGTTGAAGGAGTGAGTATCTGGCAGAGATAGTGTGTCGAATCTCACATTCCTACGGCATCTCTCGCCATCCCTCCACATCCTCCTGAGTCTGGAGCTGCTGGGGTCACTGGGCGTCAGGGTCCGTCCTGTCATGGCTGTGCTTGTGCATTTCTCAATCTCACTTTCTTAGAGTTTAATTTGAGACACTGTGAGAAATGAAACGCGTTAGGTTAAAGCTAAGTGGGCTATTTGTAAACACAGAAGTCAAGCATGATATTGTATTCTTTCCGAATAAACGTTCATACCCAGTGGTATTTGTTTTGGTCATACTGTGTGCATGAGGAGTTTTTGGGAGTTTGTAATGTTTAAGACGTTAAATGAAGCTGAATATGTCATCCATGAAAACTGTACTGTTCTAACAGATCCTTTTGTATTGATTATCACTTTCAGCTGGCTGTTTTATGTAAATCTTATTATTTGCATCTTTACTGAAACCACCATAACATCTTTAATCTATTTGAATGTGTCTTTGATAACCCAAAGACTGAAAAAGATTATATGAACAGTCATCTCAATGTTTCCAGAAAATTGTTTTTGTTTGTTTTTGGATGAATGATTCTTTCTAAAACCGATCCATTATCACTGTTACAAAGGTTTTAGCGCCAAAATCTGATTGAATAAGCCATGTTTGAAGCCGTTGTGAAATAGCCGTTATGCACACACCTTTTTTTTTTTTTTTTACGAATTCTAAACGAATAACAGTTAATGAACTACAGTGTGCCCAAAGTGTATTAGGACAAATAAGACATTTAAAAATGTATGAACTCTTTGGATTATAGAACAAACCCAGAGACACTGTGTGAATCTGAGGGAAACATACTTGCATCTACTTCTAACATCCATTAAAATCACCTCAAAACCAGTTAAAAGTAATTGCAAGTATGTTTAGGAAAAGAGAATTTACCTCTAGCTGTTTGCATGCAGATGCAACATGATTTGTTATTTTGTTTCCTAATGCAATGACAATTAGACATTATTAAGTGTGACTGAAGAGTCCAAAACGTTCAAATATCTTGACTAAATATAATTAGGTTAATGAGTAGTAATTGATATTATGAAATATTATTACAATATTACAATTTAAAATAACTGTACATGCTACTGATGCTGTGATTAGCCTAGTTGACACAAGCAGAAATGTTAGTCAGACTTTTGGAGTTAAAAAAAACACATTCGCTAGTTGCAAGTGAGTGCAGAACGACTCCCACTTCCACGTTGTCATTGTTCTTTCCACTTCACATCTCTTGTTATTTCGTGGAACACCGCCCGAAGACACAATGGTAGCGGGTGGGGAGTTCAAAGCGTTATCATGCACCGAGCGCCTTTTCATCATGTTTTAGAAACAAGCGTCCCAACTAATCCCCCAATAATCTCTTCAGGAGAACTGCTCCGATAAGCCCCGCCACCCACTGCTCTCCAGCCCACTTTTTTGGGGGGAGCCAGTCGAGAGGCGTGAAGGTGAGCGCTCTTCATCTTCTTTTTTCCTCTCTCACCCACTCTTCTTTTTCGCACCAACGGGGTTTGTTTACCCTCATCCCAATCTCTGGTTTATCTACATCTGTCAGTAGAGTGATCTCAGAGAGTCACCCCTAGCTACACATGCTTTTCCCTGAAAGGAATGCTTGAATACCCTTAATTATTTCCCCTCTCAATTATCTGCATAGTGATAAAAGGGGAAGCAAGCCAGGCTTCAAATGGGAGTCCAATTGAGAGCATCACACATTGGCACCTGTGGACCTCTCTGAGGACCTTTCCCTGCTCTCCACCCGTCGAAAAGTTCAGAAATGTAGCAGACTAGGTTGGAACATCAAAAGGTGATGGTGAATGTAGAGACTGACAAAAACACTGTAGAAAATGAGAATTTAACAAAACAGGGATGAAGTGTAAAGAGACACAGAGAGGGGGCAAACAATTTAAGTGGTTTTTCTTTCTTGTTTTTCAGTAAAAAGTCGAATTATTCATTATTTGATTAATTATTAACAATTAATCAAAGAATATTTTGTAAGATGCATTTTTTTTTTACATCTAAACATTTAGATTAAATTGAAATTAATTTTATTTTTCTTACCTTAATGGCAAAAAGTTTTTTTTCTTCCCCTTATTTTAAGCATATACCTTACTTTATTTTGTTAGATTCATTCAAAATATATTCTCTTAAAACAAGATGATATCTTTCGCAATTTTTCTTCTTTCTTGTTTGGTAAGATTTTTAAATGTTTTTAAAAAGCCTCTAATGCAGACTGAATTTATTTGATCAAAAATACAGTAAAACAACAGTAATACTGTAAAATATTATCACAATTTATAATAACAGTTTTATATTTTAATATGTTTTAAAAATGAATTTCTTCCTGTGATGGTAAAGCTGAAATTTAGTAGCCATTACTTCAGTGTCACATGATGCTTCATGATCATTGTAACATGTTCAAAACAGTTGTGCTGCTTAATATTTTTGGGGTAATATTTTTATCAGGATTTTTTTGATGAATATAAAGTTCAAAATAACTGCATTATCTGAATAGAAATCTTTTGTAACAATGTAAAAGTCACTTTTGATCAATTCATAAATAAAAAGTATTTATTACAATAAAAGTATTTATATACTGTAAAGTACTGATTAATAATTTTTCATTTTAATTTTTTATTTGGAGGGGGCGGGGGAGCAACAACACACATCACTTGAGATATGTGTAAAGACGTATAGGTTAATGTTTGATCATCATGTACTTGGATTTGCATGCTTTACTGTGGAGAAAACGACAGCGAGAGATATGATGGTGGGGGAGTGGAGAGAGGAAACCTTCCTCTATCTCCGAGCCTGATCACTGGCAGATCAGGAGCCTGCTTTCCAAGAGTGCCTCATTTTCAAATCTCTTATCGCACCTTTTCAAGTATCACAGTTTCCTATTTTTACATGTCATTTGCATGCTGCTCATAACACCTAGATGCTGTTTTCTTGGAGGGATGTGTATGTGGAGATGTGCTGCTATTTGCTTTGGGTTCATACGTAGGAGTGCATGTGCGTAAGTGCGTTTGGTTGGATGTGTGCAAACGAGGCCTGAAAAGAGAGAGAGGGGGAAAAAAGGATATGTGTGTGAGAGAGGCGGATGAGAGAAGGTTTCTGATTGTTATCGCCCTTCCTTTTCTTCTCTGTATTTTTGGAGGATTCACACACTGACCTCTTTGTTTGGGACAGTATGAACCCCTTTTCTACCCCCCTTTTTGGGAAAGAAACCATTTCCTGTGGAAAGGAGATAGAGAGAGGGGTAGACAGAGGGATAGGACTGGGAGAAGGAGAAGGCAAGGGGGATGGAAAAGTGAGAAAGGGATGTGTGGAGAGATATGGAGAGGAATAGATAGCAAGAAGGAGATGGAGACAAAGAGTGTGGCGGAGCATGAAAAGAGGGATATGGACAGATGAGGAGAGGGATAAAGGTGGAGATAGTGGAGAAACAGGAATGGAGGAAGATAACGCTGGAGTAAAAAGCAGAAAAATGAGAAAGAAAGGGAGAGGACACCAGTTCTGAAGAAGTGTACTGTACAGTGAGCGCAGTGTTAGTTTTTGTTTTAGTCATAGTTCTTCTTATGACAAACATATGTTAAATGTAGTCGATATTTGTTTTGTATCAATTTTAGTCTGTACTCTGATTGAAGTGGTGTATAATTTTAATCCACAAAAATAACATTTTAGTTCAGTCAGGGCTGTGACTGATAATGTGAAACATGGGAATAACTCTATGGGCCTGCAACAATTCTAGCAGAATTAATGTAGGATCCAGTATAATGAATTCAAAAATATAATTTATAGGGGTCCTGATTATGGTCCTGTTGATAATGTGCAAAATGACGAAAACTGTGTCAGGCTGTCACAGACCAAATTCTTTGTCAGTTGCTAAAGACTTTATCATTTTCTGTGTTTTAGAGACTGTTTAGGATGTTACACTACATACAGTGCATTGTAATGGCACATTCTGGCTAGCATGTAACTTAGTTCAAGTTCATTGTTT